ACATGCTAATCTGTAAACCGACTGCATCACATGCTAATCTGTTAAACCACTGTATCACATGCTAATCTGTTAAAACACTGCATCAGATGCTAATCTGTAAAACTACTGCATCACATGCTAATCTGTTAAACCACTGCATCACATGCTAATCTGTAAAACCACTGCATCACATGCTAATCTGTAAAACCACTGCATCACATGCTAATCTGTAAAACTACTGCACCACATGTAGAAAACTTAAAAAACCTACTTAAGTGTTGTTTTTATGTTTTAAAAAGTGTTTTGTTTGTTGAACAGGAAGCTCTGTGCAGGATCATCAGCACGTTAGCCAATAAGAATGAAGAGCTCCAAACTTTCCTGGAAACAGTCGACAACACACTGACGGGACTCCAGGTCAGCAGCTGATTGGCTAAAATGGAGTAAAGGGAGGGGCTTAGAGAGGAGAGGGGGAATGATCTAAAATGAAAAAGACATAATAACTAAAGTAAACTTTGTCCATCCAATCAGGAGGAGTCATGTAAGGTGATGTCAGAGCTGGAGGCGGAGCTCGAACAGCTAAACTCCACCCTGGAGGAGAAGGGGACGGCGCTTCGTGATGTAATTAAAGAGGCGAAGCAGAGGAAAGAGGCGGAGCTTCACGTAAAGACGCAATTTTTTTGTTTTGTTTTATAAACTTCTTTCTTCCTGTTGTGTTTTTGTTCTATTTTTCATTATATATTTTTAAAACCTCTATTTTTCTTTGCTTTAACACAGTTTTGATTTTCGGCTTTATTCCTCACAGTTTCTAATATTTAAATTTAAATTTTGTTTTTTGCCTCAAAGTTGATGAACAGTTTGACAATACTAAAAAAAATGTATCCCCATATACTTTTTTACTTTAAAAAATAAAAATGTATGCCAACATACTTTCTTTTTATTTTCTTTCCTTTCATGTATACTTTTAAAAAAGTATTTTTGGTTTGATTTTTTCAGAAGCAGATATCGGAGGGGAAGTCCGCTCTGCTGTCGTGTGAAGAACTGCTCGAGTTCGCAAATCAGACTCTGACGATCACTAATGAAGAAGAATTCCTAAAGGTAGTACTTTTATTATTAAAACCTTCCAGTTTATTAGTCGCCTAAAATAATGATTAATGTAACTATACATAAAGACAAACATTAAACAGCTACTAACTTTGAAATTACTTTTAACAATAAATATTTAAAGTTTGTTTTGTCTGTTTTCTTTTTCAGGCTGCAAAACAAATCAAAGAAAGGTTTGTTCACTGTTTGAATATGATACGAGCATATTGATATAATATCAAATATTTTACTTAATATGAACATGAGTTAGTGTGATTCATTTATTTATGTAAATTATCTTTATTGAATGACATGTTTTATTATTAGTTTCTAGATTTACTATATTCATCCAGTTTACTGTCATTGTTCAGTTGTCACATGTTTATGTTCATTTATATTTGTTGTTTTTGTTGAATTTGGTTTTAATTTAATGTAATGCTGTTTTGTTTACTTAAGGAAATTAGTTTTTAATTCTTCGTTGATTTCTATTCTAACATTAACACACTGCAACCAATCAAAGTTCAGAGTTATAAATGAAGCACAGTAACCCCCCCCCCTGTTTCCAGGGTAACCATGGCTCCAGCGTTCCGGCTGACGACTCGTCCGGTGGCGTCGGAGAACATGTTGCAATTTACTGTTGACTTCAGCTCCGAGAGGGCGGGGCTTCAACAACTTCACTTCCTGCCAGGTGAGTCACAGCTCTTCTTCTTCTTCTTCTTCTTCTTCTTCTTCTTCTTCTTCTCTGTGGTTTGTGTTTTATGTTTTGTTTTGCTACATTTGTTTATATTTGTCAGTTTATTATTAACATTTTTTTTCTTGTCTTGTCAAATTTTTCTTAAATTTTGGTGGTAGTTTAATATTATACATTAATGGGATGGTGACGTGTGTCTCTCCGATGTCATGGATTTTTTCCCAGCATGCCTCTCCTGCAGCTCTCAGCGAGCTGTCCCGGTTTGTTTTTCGGTATTCGAGTTTGTAACGTTTGATTCTTCCGCTACTGTAAGGTTTACAGTATCTTTGTATAGTTTACACTATCATTATTGTTCACAGTATCTTTATTGTTTAATGTATCTTTGTTGTGTATA